TCCAACAATACTGACCTGATTTACATTCTGCCATGCCGCCTGTTAACCTGCCATCTTCATCTCCTTCTGGCACCTGCTTTCATCTCTGTCCCTATGACAACTGTCTCCTTACTGATCCCCGCCTGATAACCTCATTGGGCTCCGGGAAGTCCTTCCTGTCCTGTCCAGCTATTGGCTGTTAAGCTCTTTGTTTAACCAGTCAGAACAATGTTTACAAACTGCTGAGCCTGGAGATGCTTCATAATAATTACAATACCAAAGTCTGGCCTATAATTCGACTTCTGCTGGCACGGAATCTGCATTTGAATCATACAGACAACCTTTACACTAATACAATCTTTACACAGCACATAAAGGCATCACTCCAACAGGATCAAACCCAACGCCTTGGCTATGCTAGAGACATGCTGTGCTAACTGAGCTTTATCTTCAGCCCTGGACTGACTGAGAGGCTCTTTATAGGGCAGCCACAAGCTACTACAGATTATTCATGGGAGCTTTTGATTGTAATGACCGGACCAAGACATTTTTTTTTCATTTTATGTTCTTGAAATGCAAATGCCACAAAGACCAGTAACACTGTTGTTGCTAAGTAACTCAGGTGCAATAGATGCAGAATGTTAATACCTGTCAAGAACCAAATGCCAATGTGTGGATTTACATAAAAGAATAGCTGATCATTAACTGGTGTGGGTGCCTGGTAAACACCAGTATTAGACAAGTAACTTGTGTGAAGCTGTAACTATCTAGGGAGTGCTGTGGGAGAAGTAATATGAATTCATAGCCATACTTCAAATGAAGCAGTGCTTATTAAGACTAAAATCAAGCAAAATTAATTTTACATAGTAGGTGATTGTATTAAGTCTCATTGAATCTAGAGCCTCTTGCTATTCACTGTTCAGTTGTAAATGATATCCAATGTCACCTATAAGAAAGTACCTCGGGCTGGAGAGATGGCTCAGAGATTAAGAGCACTGACTGCTCTTCCAGAGGTCCTGAGTTCAATTTCCAGCAACCACATACAACCATTGTTATGAGATCTGGTGCTCTCTTCTGGCATGTAGGTGTACATGCAGACTGAACATTGTATACATAGTAAATAAACAAATCTTTAAAAAAAAAAAAGTATCACACTTATGACAGGAAGTGGGTTGGGCAGGTTTAGGGAAAAGCTAACAGTTCTAATTCTTGATGGCCAGAAGCCAGAAATGTTCTTGGTTCTGTCCTTACCGAGGCGAAGATTACAGGAAGGAGCTCTGGTTATCACTTTCTTAAATGAGCCCCTCCTGGAAGCTGTGCTTGAGTGTGGACTAAAACCCCCATGTGCCAGACACTTCAGTCCTGCTGGCAAACAACTTTGGAACTGGATATCTGGATTTCATGATGAAAATTGGTTATGCCATTTCCCAATTTCTGCCTGTCCCCAAAGGATGTTAAGGCCTTAACAGGACTGAAAACTCAAAAAGGAAGCTTGATTTCCCTGCAATTCTAATCGGTATATTTGGCTTCTTATTGTAGAAAAGTTCTTGAGGTTTAGAATACAACCAGTGATAGAGTGCTTGCCTAGTATGCTGAAAAGTCCTGAGTTCAATCCCCCAGTACTGAAATAAAAAGTTTGGAATACAGTTCTTACTACAGTGAGAATGGAAGCAATTCAGATTGTAGAATGAGAATTAGCCCCTTTTCAGCATCAGTTTTTATCTCTATTTTTTTACTTGTATTTTAATTTCTGTAAGAAATGTTATTGTTAAACATTAAGAAGTAAATTAAAACTAAAAATCAGAACAGTGCAGTAAACCCCCAGGGGTTGGGGAACTTACTCTGTAGCCGGACTTTTGGCTACTTTATTGGGTTCTTTTTCCTACCTCCCTACACCACCCTTATTCCTTCCAACATCAGATGGGAAAGGATGTTAGAAGGAAAAGAGGGCATCAATATTGTTAGACTACTTCTTGCTGATTAGGGGTCTCAAGTTCCTGGGGGAGAATTTGGTCTTCATCATCATCATCAGGATATCTCCAACCAGCAAATAGCATGGGGTTAGGAAATCACGTTCTTGCTAAAAGATGAGGCAAATCATAGCTATGGACAATCTGAAGCAGCCCCAAATCCCAAACCTGAGATTATATATATCCCCATAACATTTCTGTGTTTTTAAAGAAACAAAAATAATAATAATAATCTCACTACATCACTCAACTTCCCAAGCTTTATGACCATATTAATTGAGTTTACTTGTTGCTGGAAACGTAATCTCATCCTCCCAACAACTCTTGAGATTATAGACAGGGAAAATGGAAGCTAAGAGATATTTGATATCAAAGGTGCCACCAGCTAGTAAAGAGTAGAGCTAAATGACAATAGACAGTTAATGACCCCAAGACTAACCTTTTAGTCATTATCAGTATTTCCTAAAGCAAGGCCCAAGTGTCTTGTGCATTAACATCACCCATGTACAAGCTGACAAAGGGAAGTAAGAGTTAGGAACCACATTTCATTGAACTTCCCAAGAATTATGGACCTGCCTGCACCGAGAATGGGGCCTTAGTATCATAAATTCTTTTGAAAAGTATTTTACCATCAAATACTTTTATGAAGTATATGCCCATTGTAGGAAAAGAGAAAAAATCCTGGAGGGGTTAAAAAGGACTTCCAGGTCCCAGTGATTCCACCCACAGTAAGGTACATTTCCAGACATGCATCACAGATCTGTATTTTCTCATTCAAACTTCTCACTCAATATGTACAAAGTCTTTCCTTACACTTGGGTCAAGAGTTTGTGTAAAGCCTGGCTGTGGTGGCACATGTCTGTAATCCCAAATCTTTAGAATGCTAAGGCTAGAGGACTACCTGGAATTCAAATCCAGCCTGTATTACACACCAAGACCCTGGTTTTTGTTTGTTTGGTTTTGGTTTGTTTTTTTAAGTCAGACCTCTGCATATTGTTATACTGCAATCACTCTACTACTGAATGGACTTTGTAGGAGAAAACTTTTTTTTTTTTTTCAAGTGAAGGGAATCAAATGTATTCCACTCTTATATAGCTAAGGAGTCCCAAAAAAAAAAAAAAAAAAAAAAAAAAAGATGAGTCTCATTTGGAAGGAGAATTAGCACAGTGGTTCTCAACCTGTGAGTTGTGACTCCTGAAGTCAAATGACCCTTTCATAGGGGTCACCTAAAGCCATTGGAAAACACAGATATTTACATTACAGTTCATAACAGTAGCAAAATTACAGTTATGAAGTAACAACACAATAATTTTATGGTCAAGAGATTCACCTCAACATGAGGAACTGTATTAAAGGGTCAAAGCTTTAGGAAAATTGAAGACCACTGCTCTGGTATGACAGTTCAAAATAAATTGAGACTTCAAGGAGCTAGTGAAACATGATCTGGTAAGTACACCTGAGAAACAATTTCTGACCTACATTTTCCTTGCTCTGTGGACGCCTGGTTGTGAAGAGTTTTGCCACTGTGGCTGTATGTCTGGTCTGGGATGTGAGGGTCTAGGTTTCTGCACAATTTTCCTATAAAATCTTATCCCATGTACTGTCATGTTTCAAGACTCAAAGGGCCTTTTAAATATTTTTAAATATGATACCTTTTTATTTTATTGTTTTAGAAAGAAGACAGGATGGTGGCATGCACTACTTTAAGATTACTTTTTTTTTTTTAAGATGGAGAACCCTTATCATCAACTGACCAGGTTGGGGAAGCAATCTTTTCAGAGTGTGAAAGGCTTCCCGCTTGTGGTCAGTGCATAGAGCTGTCGAGGTTTTTTGTCTTGCCCTTGCTGCTCCTAAACCCTTAAAGGAGACCTCAGGAGGCAGCAGTAAGGTCTTGTCTAAATCTGGGATCCCCACTTCTTGGGTTGCAGTTCCAGTCCCAGCCCCAGCATTCCACAGCTTGTGGACCTCAAGCGAATCAAGTCTGTCTCTGCTTGTTTTCTTATCTGCTAAAACAGAGATGGTAACATCAGAGCCTACTCAGATTGCTATGAGGAGTTAGTCTGTGTAAGAGTATTTAATACAGTGTCTGGCAAGTAAGAAAAAAGAATCTTCCAGTCCCCCAATTTCTGCCTCATAACAATTTTGGATACAGAATATTTTTATTTCCGTAATTTTGTTCTGTCGTTCAAGGATACATGGGTAGGCCATTGAGAGAAAGTAGGCTCTTAGATCTAGCTCAGCTGTTAAACCATCCTTGAGACTTGCTAAATTAGCTGATTGATCTCTCTGAACTCGGCTTCCTCCGCTATTAAATAAAGCACGCTAACTCCAGGAATTATCTAATACGTTCTGTGGCATCTGAATCAAGTTTCCAGCCCCACACTCAATCCAGTGACTTGGCTTCCTAGTTTGTAAACTAGAAAAACAGTATTTGGCACCTACCAGCAGCCAAAGCATCACAGCAGAGAGTAGGCTGGCAACAAGGGGCTCACGACTACGCTGCACCACGGGGACTAGGCCCGCCATGTGCAAGGGATGCAGGCAGAGGGTGACAGGAGCCCTTCTTTCTGCAGCGCTTAAGCCCTGCCAGACTCACCCGGAGGAAGCTGTCGCGGTGCTCTGTCAAGTGCGAGCTCTGTTGGAAGGATTACAGGATGGTGTCACGATCACTTGGAGGGAGGGAGTGGGAAGGCTGCGTCCAGAGTGCACAGGGGCTGTTCCGGCAAGGTGTTAAGCTGACTGTGCTGTGTCTCTGCTTCCCATCCTCGCTCTAGGAGGGATCCTCTGTGCAGGAGGCCCAAACCCCCTCCCGGAAACTCTGCAGTGGGTGTCCCCCCTGCCACACAACTACACACTCCTCTCTCTTCCGCTCCTCCCTCCTGGCTGCCATAGAAACCGGGCTGCCAGATCCAGGCCCACGTCGCATCGCGGTGGCCATCCAGTCTCCTCTCCCTGCTCCCTAGAGCCGGCCTCCCGCTCGGGATTGGTCCTGTTCAGGACGCTGCTGGCACTCGGCTCTAGTGGCGGAGCCAGGCGCAGACAGGCAGCAGGGTTTGCCACAGCCCTGTGGGTCAGCTCAGCTGCCCGTCACAGATCTCAAAGCCACAGGAGGGACCCAGCCGTCTGCGCCCGGGACAGCCACGAGCCTGCCACTCTGCGCGCGTTGCCCGGCGCAGCGAGCTCCCCAGGCGGCCTGTCCACCGAGGTAAGCGGGGTATGTCTCCAGCGCCTGGGTCGCCTCAGCCTTGCCACCTCCAAGCTGCGATGTCCGTGGCTAGAAAGAGGCCCTTCTCCACGACCACAGGGAAGAAAGGGAGACCTAAGCTCTGGTCAGCGGTAGCCAAAAAGTGGGTTAGGAGAAGGTCAAGCGCTCCCAGGAACGTCCACCGGGTCGGTCAGCCCGTTGCCCCTGTGTGCGGTGCCTCGGTTGGGGTGCGGGTGCGCGCGTGCACCCCTTTTACCCTGTGCACTCACCCGTGTCTGTGTGCGCTTCCACACGTGAGCCGGAGGGCAGCCTGGCGTCCTACGTGCACACTCGGATTCTCTGAAGCACAGGAGCGAGGCACTAGCCCAAATCTGTTAGTTTGTAACTGAGGGCTGAGCACCTGCTTGACCTGGATTAGGAATGGACGTAATTTCTCACCGCTATGGCCCCGGGGAGTGGGTGGCATGAACCCTCAATGACACCACACACCAGAATCTTCCCAAGAAAAAGATGCTTCTTTGGGAAGACCCAACAAAGCAAGGAGAAACCTCATTTCTCTTCCCTGTTATCTCTGGGATTGTTATAATGGAGGTAGAGAGAGGACTTGGAGATATAACCAGGAAGAGACTTCAACAGGGACTTTAAAACGCCTTTTGCAGGCAGAACGCATTGGTCCCAATGGATAGTCCAAGAGATCCACTTTCCCTTTTCCCTCTCTTCCTCTTCTCCCTTGTTCCCTCCCTTCCCTTTCCAGCGCCCCCCAGCATGGTAGACAAGAGTGTTCTATGTTAAACCCCCCTCCCCCACCTCACTTCAAAATAAGGGCAAATGAATCACATCCTAAATGCTGCTCACCGAGTAACTCAGACAAGTTTGGAAGTTAAACAAATCGCGTTTGCACTTTGGGGCCTGGGGTACGAAAAGAGAACAAACAAAACCAGTCGAACTAAAATGTGTTCCAAGTTACGATTTCAAAACGGTATTTGTTTATTGTAATAGAGAGTTTTTTCAAAAAAATGTTTGAAAATCTGTATACACAAGTTTGCATCATCAGCATTCAGTGTGATTCACAGAAGCACTTCAGGAGATGGTTTCTGTTAGTGTTGCAAAAGCCCTTCTAATTTTTGGTTGTCATGGTAACTAAAGAGGCGCTCTGCTTTTAGAGAGACTGCCTGGCTGGAACCAGGAACTGTTGCTGAAGGGAACTCCCTTCAGATGTGCCGTCCCATCCCCACGGCAATAAACGAATTCACAAAAAAGATACGCTTCTTTTCCTTAGAGTAGCTAAACTCTAAGCCATGTCTCTGTGGGTTTTCCCCTCGTTTGCAGTCTGTTCTTCAGACCTTCCCTCTCGGACAAATGAGAGTAAGCACTGCTGCCCTCCAGCAAGTCAAATGGCCATCAGTCCTGAGGACTCAGCTCCCTTCCACACTCATTACACAAAGGACAGAGGGGCTGTGTGATGTTCAAGGAGTCCTGGCCTGGGACCAGACTGCCCTCTCCCTTAGCAGTTAAATTTGGAATTCTAATTAGCTTTCTAATTAGGAGCTGGAAAATGTAGGTGGGGGCCTGGCAGAGGCTACAGGGGAGAAAGCTGAGCCCAGCTCTCCACGATCGCGGTTTGGTGGGCTGTTGAATGTGCTTAGTAAAGCCTCATGCATTTATTTTTGGACTGACCACTGTTAAGTGGTCAGCCTGGGAAAGCCTTCAAGAAAGGCCTTTTTCTGTTAGGGAGAAATGTGTCTGGGATTTGGGGTTGAAGTTCGTGCTTTTTTTTATTTAAGCTGCATTTAAAATAAAGACAGGTTTGTATGAGTCTAAATTTCTCAGTCATGACTGCAAATAGGTTATAGAACTCCCTGCTATCTCACGTAGTCTTAGGGTTTTAGTTTTAAAAACTTAATTTGGGACACACAGTGGTACCACATTTTAAACACTTTCATCAGCAACTGTTGGTGCCTTTAAAAATATAATTCTTCAACAGTCACACTTTCTTTATTTCTAGATGTTGATCTCATGCATTGATAGCAAATGAACGGGAAATTTGAAATTTTGACACTTATCAAAAGGGGAAACACAAAGATGTTGTCTAAGTAGAATTGTAGTTTGTAGCAATATACAGAGCTTCATTTGGGGGGCTCTTAAAAACTAAACGACTTATATTCAGCCTCAAACTGTACCACTCTAGGATTAAAGAACCTTCGTGCATTGACTGATTTTCTAGAATTTGTTTTAAATCTCCAAAGAAAACATTCAAGTCACTTAATGATATAACAGCGCACAGCTGGAATAACCCTATTCTAGTTTTCAAGTTACTTTGAATAGCTTGAAGGATAGCTCAGCCACTGTGATACAGTCAAATAGGTGGGTAAGTTGCAGTCCAAAGACAAATGATTTCAGCTAACCACATGGATAATTAGAACAAAAATATAAGCCACCTGGCATGTTTGTGAAGCTGAGTATCAGTCAAAACCTAGAGAAAATCAGGGTGAGAAAGGGGACAGAGTACAGGTGGAGGTGGCAGAGTTTAGGACAGAGGGAAGAATAAAGCTGTAAAGAAAGTCTCAAGCTTTCTTTCATCTCACTTCATTAAGATGAAGTGAATGGGGATGAAGAGGGTTACAGAGAAGGAAGGCCAAGTTGATAACCGGAATCTGAAAAGGATTCTACTAGCTCTGTAGACCAGAGTGGCCTCAAAGAATCAAGAAGCTTGTCTCCTAAGATTGTTGGTTTTCCTAGTTTTTGTTTGTTTGGTTTTGTGTGTGTGTGTGTGTGTGTGTGTGTGTGTGTGTGTTTTCTTTTTTTTGAGACATGGTTTCTCTGTGTAACAACCCTAGCTGTCCATAGACCAGGCTGGCCTCAAACTCAGAGATACACTTGCCCCTACCTGTCGAGTACTGGGGTTAAAGCAGTAGGCCACCACTGCCCTGCAAGACTGTAATAATAGCAACACTCACACTCCCCATATATAACCACTGTCTGCTTTTAGCAGTTTGATCAGTTGCCATCCCTGTATTCTAACAACTATCTTATGCTGCTGGCTTTTTATTTATCTATTTTAGAAATAGCCTACTGAGCTACTCTTGGGTAAGGATTTAACTCTCTTGTTCCACTCCTTCCAACTTGCTTCCTCCATTTTTGTTTTCTTTGTTTGTTTGTTTTGCTATATAGTTTGTAGATGAAATTCAACTACATCCTCATTAGTAAAACCCTTTATCTAATGTCGATAAGGCATTAGACCAGGGAGATGGCTCAGTGGGCAAAAACTTGACAGCTAAGCCTGAGGACTTCAGTTCCAATTCCCAGAACTCACCTAAAAACCAGAACTGAGTATATACCCTGTGTGTCTTTCTGCTTCTGGGATACCTCACTCAGGATGATCTTTTCTAATTCCCACCATTTGCCTGCAAATTTCATGACTTCCTTGTTTTTAATTGCTGTGTAGTATTCCACTATGTAAATGTACCACAATTTCTGTATCCATTCCTCTGTTGAGGGACATCTGGGTTGTTTCCAGATTCTGGCTATTACAAATAAAGCTGCTGTGAACATGATTGAGCAAATTTGGGATATATGCCTCTACCAGCAATGAAGGAGGGTTCCCCTTTCTCCACATCCTCTCCAGCAGGTGTTGTCACTTGAGTTTTTGGTCTTAGCCATTCTGATGGGTGTAAGGTGAAATCTCAGGGTCGTTTTGATTTGGATTTCCCTGATGGCTAAGGATGTTGAGCATTTCTTTAAGTGTTTCTCTGCCATTCAGTATTCCTCTACAGAGAATTCTCTGTTTAGCTCTATTCCACATTTTTTTAATTGGATTACTTGATTTGTTGCTGTTTAACTTAACTCATAAGTAGATATTAGACATACAATATAAGATAAACATACTAAAATCTGTCTACCTAAAGAAGTTAAGCAAGAAGGAGGACCCTGGGTAAGATGTTCAAACCTCATTCAAAACAGCAAACAGGATAGACATCGGAAGATGGAGAAAACAGGGAACAAGACCAGAGTCTACCACAGAGGGCTTCTGAAAGACTCTATCCTTCAGGGTATCAAAGCAGATGCTGAGACTATAGCCAAACTTTGGGCAGAGTACAGGGAATCTTATGGAAGCAGGGGGAGATAGAAAGACCTGGACGGGACTAGAACCACAAGGAGAACAACAAAACCAAAAAATCTGAGCCCAGGGGTCTTTTCTGAGACTGATATTCCAACCAAGGACCATTATGGAGATAACCTAGAACCCCTGCACAGATGTAGCCCATGGCAGCCCAGTGTCCAAATGGGTTCCCTACTAAGGGGAACAGAGGCTGTCTCTGACATGAACTCAGTGACCAGCTCTTTGATCACTTCCCCCTCAGGGATGTAGCCTTGCCAGGTCACAGAGGAAGATGATACAGCCAGCCTTGATGAGACCTGATAGGCTAGGGCCAGATGGAAGGGGAGAAGGACCTCCCCTATCAGCAGACTGGGGATGGGGCATGGGAGTAGAAGAGGGAGGGGGCTACACTTGGATACAAAGTGAATAAATTGTAATAAATAAATAAGTGAAAAATAAAAGCCAGGACTGGTGGTATTCATGTTAGCAACCCCAGCAGTCCTAATGATGTGGAAGGCAGAATTTCCAGAAAGTTCTAAGTTCAGCTAGTCTACAACACACAGCACAATGGCAAAACAAGAGGCCTTGGAAGGTTCTCGAGAAACAACTGATTTAGTAGTCCCTTGACTTTCACAGATGCTTTGTGGCATGTTCTCTCTCTCTCTCTCTCTCTCTCTCTCTCTCTCAGCATGAAAGCTTCTATCAGCATCTAGTCTGGTGAAAAATAACTAAGCGTTTTATAGGACATTAGTCAAAGTAGCTAAAGCAGTCTTCAGATGTAGTTCAAGGATGGCTTTTAGAAGACAGGAATTGTTCTCAAAGATCACCAGCTATTGCTTGGGCAACCCGGATTTTAAGCAGGAGGATGGGAGACTGGAGAGAAAGAATTAGGGGTAAAGTC